GCCAAGACTCAGTCATGATCTGGCAAGCTTCTATGCACGCGATCGCTTTCTCTCGCTTCAGCCACATGCCCTTCCCCATCGTGGTGAAATACTTGTTGATATTGATCAAGGTGAAGTGAAGAAGGTGAAGTACATCCGGAGGTGCTTTCTCAGCGCACTGCAAGCAGAGAACATGACTCCTCCAAGACTGACAACTTCAAATATAATGGTTAAGCTATGGGCATGGTTCTCATAGAGCACACCATCGTCCAAGAAATCCAACAACCACTTGCTCAAAGCAGTGGTGTCATGAGCTTTTCCACATGGCCCCGGCCAGGAATTCAGCCTTGCAGAGAGGTAGAAACAGCGTGTACGAAAAGCTTCCAGCATGAACATGCAAACCTACACAGCTGCAACCAGAAACGATTCCATCTTGAAAGTCTTCAGCTGGAATGATGTGAAAGTCGTAGTGGTCTTTGTGCGAACCCGCCATGCAGTGAAACATTCAAAGGCAGCATCAAGGCCGTCTTGGATAGTCGAACCACCAAACAGGAACCATCTGCATGCTGTGAGAACCTGAGCAAGGCAGGCCCACCGTCCAAATAGAACCATAAGTCAAACATGTTGCTAAAACACTCAACATTTGTGCGTGTAAGAAGCAACACATGAAGACATAAATTCACGTCCATACCCATGGTGCCACACATGCATTTGATCAGGGCAAGCCATGCATTCATGCCCTCCAGGCAAGGTATGGAGGCTCACAAAGCCCTTGACAGCTCGTGTTTGAAGTCGTTCTTGCTTCCATTGGGCATTCCGCTTCATGTTCCACCAGTCCTGAGTCTTGAGCTGGCATGCTTCATATTAAACAATCAGAAGACAGCAAAAAACATTAACATGTCAAGCGTCACAGCTTGAACAGAAGTGGCAGATCCTTTGGCTTGCAAAGCCAGATGACAGCTTGTGTATTTTTCCTCAAAAATCACACACCTGCAAAGCTGACACAGCAAGAAGCCAGCTCATCCAGGCCACTGAGGAATGGCCAATCACCTTTCACTCCAGTCAATACAAAATATACTCTTCGGGTGGTGCCATCTGGCATCAATACCTATAGCTGAAGCTATTGCACTCAAGGCAGATGCGCAAATCACACAGCTACAAAGATAGCCACTTTTAACAACATATATGAGCTTAGATTCCTCAAGGCCTTTCTCATACATCTCTTGCAAGTCTGAGACCATCTCCATTTGCAAGAGGTCACAAGTTGCATCTGATGCATATGACTCTGCAGGCACACAAGTGTACAGGAAACGGCTGTTGTAGCTGTGGGAGGTGGCATGCAACATTGGCTGGATGCTATAGACCATGATTGCTCGCTTTAATTTACCTCTCCCTTCATCCCCGTGAATTGCCAGCGGAATGCAGAGGTCTAGAGTATCTGCTTTATCATGGGCCACTGGATGCTCGAACGCTTTGGTCCTTGGTGTATCTCTGCCAGAATCTTCTGAGGTCTTCTCTCCAGGCAGATTCATCAGCCAACAGATGGCCATTCAGCAAGGGCTGCCCCCCTGTCTTGGAAAATATCAATTTTGCCCATGATGAGAACAGAAGGCATGGCCACGGAGACTGGATCAGGCGTCCATGGAAAAGAACTGGAACTTCCACAACTTTGATGCAGACATTCAATGTCAGGCCAAATCGAAAAATAAGGCGATGCAGGTTGCGAGCCCAATGGTTTCTATGGGTCCAAGATTTCATTCGTGACAGGAGAGTGCTTTTACCTTACATCAGTCTGAACTGCTCACACCAATGTCCCACACCCATTAGTGAATGAAAGCTGGTCCAATCCTGAGGGCACTGCCACCCCAAGGTGTAAGCATCCTATCAAAGAGCTGGCCCATAGATACAACATGCCTTGCTGTATCAGCCTCAGCACGTGTGCACAGACCTGCAGTCAGGAAAAGCAACTCCAAACTTTGACTTTCCATACATGACCATGAAGGCAAGAAACACCTGTGTCAAAACCCTCTGTCATAGCATCAAGCAAGATAGTGTCCAGCTCTCTCATTTGTTTTTGGCGCTGATTAACTTCAGCTAGGTCTATTCCTGCAGCTGCTCACCAGCAACATATGATGGATGCCCCGCACAACCCCAAACATGCATGCAAGAATCGGCTCTCTTCATTGGTTCTCTTTCTTTTGGCAGGCCTGGACGGTGATGGGTCATATCCTGCCGACATACAAAAAACAATGCAGAAACATAACATGCAAAACACAATGTTTGCCCTGCTGTCATCCAACCTCTTGGAGGATCAATCATGCCTCCAGCATTCTACCAAACATAGTGCAATGAACAAGCAAAAGCAACGATAGCAATGCATGCACCATGGCAATCTCAAGAAATAGTTGTAAGTGGCGCCAAGACCTTTTTCAACTGTATGGCCACTTTGTAGTGTGCCGGAGGTCTGTTCTATCAGGCCACGGACCAAAATCACCTCAGCAAAAACATTAGTTGAAAGTTTACTTGATCATGCTTCATTGAAAATAGCCGCCCTGAGAGCCAACTCCCAGCTCTGCTTTGCGTCAAGCATGTCACTTCTTCTTCTTTGTCCTTGCGCCACGATACTACCAAGTTGGAAAACTCAAGTGTGCACAGTTTTCTTGTATGCAGCCCAGAAGCTTTGGTTTGCTTGCTTCTGATTCAGCGCATGAATCATCTTCTTCTTCATCCAACGAGCCTTCTTCTTTGACTGGTTCCTGTTTCACTTCCTTTGCTTTGCGTTTCTTGGAGCTTTTTTTCTCCTTCTTTTCAGATTTTGTGTCTGATTTCTTGCTTTTGCGTTTTGCTGCTTTGGCAGCCTTTTCCTCAGCAGTCTCTGGTGGCTTCCATGACCTAGCAGTCAAGAAACCACCAAGATGTCTACCAAAACTGGTTTGCACACTGTAAAGGCTGAGGATGTCACTTTGCCCGCACCAAGAAGACATTCATTTGACAGTCTTGCTTGGTGATATCAATGAAAAGTTTCACCAGCTTATCCTTGTTCTCCCTGCAGCATACACGGTTCAAGCTGAAATGCGCTTTCACGCAAACTATCATGCATGCAAGGGGTCATGCCTGGTTGGAGCTTCAGCAATCGCAGCAGCCTGAAGATCAATGAGGTCTTTGTGGTAGCCCTGCATATTCTTGAGCGGTTCAGCCATGCCGTGAGAGTACCTTGTAGTTTCTCTGAGGTCAAATCACTGCGCAAAAAGAAAACAAAGAACTGGTCAATTTTAAATCAGGCTTGCACTCTGCTGCTCGCTTGCAAGTCGGGCATTCATCCAGCTTTTCCTGCAAGACTGGTCGCAGACTGGAACCTGACAAGTGCAGTTGAAAAGCTGCAGAAGCACCTTGATTTGCATCGCGTTGTCCAGCTTGCGGCCCAAGACAAGCAGGACAGTAGCCAACACAGCATAAGGATTGGTAGTTTGCGACACAGAAGGGAAAGCAAGTTTCTCTGCTGGGCCCTTTGTCCTGGCCAGATCACAAGCATGTAGAAACATGACAACATCTATGATCACAACAAAATACAC